CGCAATAAAGCGAAGCACAATAAAACAAGGTATGCCTGTAGTCCTCTTGGGTAGAGTCCTAAGTTATAGTTATAGACATAGTTCTACATCTCTTGTTTAACATGATCATTAAACAATTAACCCTTTTATAATACGGCAAAAAACTCAAACCAAAACAAAATACATCCACTAAAGGAATCCAAGCTTAGAAATCTGTGTTCCTAGGGTGCAAGGACCTGTATTATGGCAAGTTTTTCCAGCTATTTAATTTGTTTATTTGTACCCATAGAGAGACTGTTTATTTAAGGGAGCTGTTTACAACAAAAATTAAAAAAACAAACAATTTAAAAGTAAATGGCATTACTAGCAAAATTGACAGTTTGACACAAACAACAATAAGATAAAAACAAGGAGCTCAAATGGAAACTTTTGGAAACAGATTTCATTTGTGTACTTACAAGTTTTGCTTTTACGGAAGAGAAATGTCGTCCACTGATTTAAACATAGATCTTGGGGCCAAGAATTCCCCAGGAATAATCCCATCTCTGACACTATTTCCCTTAGTGGATTTGAAACAAGACTCAGGGTGCAGACAGAAATACATCTGTCATGCAATTGACCCTTCAAAATCACTACAAAGCTGCGCCCAAACAGAAGAGCATGGCTGTAGAGCCCTCCAATTATGTGACAAATTAACTCTTATTGTTTGAGGGTTCAAATGATGCCACTCCTAAGTGGTTCAACTTAATTTCTGTCTGCCCCAGCTGCAGCACAGTGAGCCACAGATGCTGTCTCTGGATGGGAGGGGGAGAAGGTAGGGAAGGAAGGTCCCTTTTGGGGTTTTCTCAGCCCCACGAGTTGGGGGGGGATGGTGGACTGGAGCCCCTCAGCCTGGGGAGAGACCCAATCTACCTGTCCCCCCATTCCAGCGGAGCTGAGAAAACCCCAGAACAACCTCCTTTTCCTGCCTTTTCCCTCATCTCATAGGTTTCACTGATTTCATAGATTTCTAAGGTCAGAAGGTACCTATTAGATCATCGAGTCCAACCCCCTGCTCTGGGCAGGAAAGAGCACTGGGGTCAAGTAACTCCAACCAGGTGCTTGTTTAATCTCCTTCTGAACACCTCCAAAATAGGGGAAAGCACCACCAACCCTTGGAAGCCCGTTCCATATTTTGGCAACCCTTACCATAAAGAATTTCTTCCTGATGTCCAATCTAAATCTACTCTCCTTCAGTTTATGGCCGTTGTTTCTAGTAACTGCAAGGGGTGCCCTGGTAAACAGAGTATCCCCTATTTACTGCTGAGCCCCCTGATGAGTTTGTAGACAGCCACAAGATCATCTCTTAGCCTTGTTTTGTGGAGGCTGAAGAGATTCAGGTCGCTCAATCTGTCTTTATAGGATCTTACCTGAAGGCCCTCAACCATATGAGTAGCCCTCCTCTGAACCCTTTCCAGGTCATTCACATCTCTCTTGAAGTGCAGTGCCCAAAACTGGATGCAGTACTCCAGCTGCGGTCTCACCAATGCCGTATAGAGGGGAAATGTCACCTCCCTAGACCTGCTTGTGATGCACCCACTAATGCAAGACAGAGTGCAGTCAGCCTTACTTATTACCTAATCACAGTGGAGACTCTCATCCAGAGACAGCAACAGAGTTGGGAAGGGTGTGGAGAGGCAGAGCCAGGTAAAGATGCAGCCTCTCTCCTTGGATCAGCTCCCATTTAGAGCAGATCCTCCATTCTCCCAATCCAACAGCTAACGTCTGTTGGATTGGAGGCAGTTGTCTAATTCATGGCAATTTCTGTGAACCGTCATGAGTCAGACCCAAGAGCTGCACTTCTGTCTGTGCCCTCAACCATGTCTTAGTGCCCCCTTTGGTGAATGCTGACAGTCTTTACCTACCACACACAGGAGTTAACAGAAGATAGATCTGTTGGCAAGATAGGTATTCCCAAGAACTTGTGGTATGGCCACTGGCCACCATTTCAAAATTGTTACCTGTGGACATGAATTCACAAGACAGTTACATCAGTGTAATCCATGCTTACTGCTATGTAACCCAGGGACAGGGAGGCATGTGACACACATCAGTATAATTTATTGGAATTTGGTGTAAAGTTAACTCAGGGAGTATATGGGGTAAAATGACACTCGTGTAAGTTACACCAGTGTATATGATGTGTGCCTGCTTTTTCCTGGGATAGCTGTTTGCATAGCAGACAGACTACTACTGTCTTCCCGGCTGTCTCATGCCACTACAGCAGCTACCCTAAGAGAGTTGGTTATCTGATTTCTCCAGACACTGGTATAACTTCAAATGCAGAAGCTGACATAGTTGAATCAAGACCAAACTACACAAAATATTCTGAAGATACAAATTAGTATATACATATGAGCCAGATTTGATTCTACTTATTAGACATGTACCTGGACTTAGGTGCCTAAGTGCAATTCTAATCTACCCTGCTCAAATACCTGAAAACTGGTTAATGCAAAAGGAGGTTCCTCCTTGTCCTCACTGCTTTATTTGTGATTCAGTGTTAATGGTAAGATGATGGTATGGTAAAAAAAGTATATGCATTAATGGATTTCAGGACCTGAATAGGGTAGAATAGAACTGCACTTAGGTGCTTAAGTCCACTTAAATGCTTAATAGGTGAAATAAAATCTAGCCTTGAGTCTCCATCAGATAGGAAGATGTGATATATACACTTATGTCAGCTTAAGGTACAAGGAGAGCTCTTTCTTAAATAATTAACTATTTTATATCCCAAATCAGTTCCTGAACAGAGCCACAGGAACAGGAAATGCAAAGCTCAAATGAGACCAAAGAAAAAAGTGCCCAGAAGACAACAGAAAAATAAGTGAAAATTGCCTTCAGAGAAATCACTGAAAGTTTTAAAAAAACAACCAGTAAGTAAAAATGGGAGGCAGACCAACACCAAATAATTGTGTAAATCAATGAACAGGAAGTGAAAATAAGAGGAGGAAGAAAAGAAGAAATGAGAGGAAGTGCAAATGCACTGGTGATAGAGAGGGGAAGAAGTTAAGTTGATTGAATAGGTAAAGGGTTAAGCAAAAATCCTTTTTTCCCTCTTCTGCTCCTAATCTATTCCTGCTGCCAAGCCATCCCATGCATTTCTTTTTAGCTCCCAAAATAAACAGCCTTTGGGTTTCCTTTGCCACAA